CTGTATAAAATCGTGTCTGTTTTCTCGTATATTTCCAAACGACGAGAAATGAAAAATTTATAACTTTGGCATTAAAAAAAAAAGTGATAAAGAAAAGAGAAGATTAAAAAAAAAGAAAGGAAAGAAAAGAAATATATGTTGTGTAAATTCGTTTTTTGTCTATTACATGTTGATGAATTCCAAGTGTGAAATCTGAATTTATATATATATACCTTCTGGATGTAAATTCTGAGACAACCTCTTCTGATGAACGGTGAACGCTTAGAGTATATATATATATACATAATTGTTCAAGCAAGAATCTGGTTATTGATAGACGTACAAGCTATTACATCGAGTGTCTGAACAGTGGGATGTCGGGAACGGCGCCATGGCGGGAAGCGACCGTGTTCTGTTTTCGTCGTTTGGTTCGCCCGGAGAGCCCGAAGTGTTTCGCCCGCGCCCTCTTCTTTCACTTCGGTTCGCGTTGTAGGGTTGTTTATATATGTGTTTGTTTTTATGTGTATTTCCATATATACATGCTTGCGTAGAAGCATACTCATACACACACAAACACACATACACACACACACACAAACACACATACACACACACACACAAACACACATATATACACACACACACACACACACGCACACGCACGCACGCACACACACACACACACACACACACACACACACACACACACACACACACACACACACACACGGACATTTGTATGTATGTGTGCACAGGGGGTGTGTTTCGTGTTTCTGTTTGTAAATGCGTAATAGTTGGTACGTGCTTGTGTGCATGTATGTTTGTATGTGTAAGTATACATGCATGCATGCATACATAGATGTGTACACACACAGATGTATGTGTATATATACATACATATATATACATATATATGTATAATTATATTATTCGTTTCTTTACTTCAGTCATATTTACTATTTCGGTATTTCTCTTTTCCACCTTTTTTTCAAGTTCCTTGGTAATAACAGTTTCGAATCTGCCTTTGTTGTTGCCAGGTGTCGTTGGGGAAGATATTTCAGCCACTTGCGGTCTCGGAGGCCGAAAGAACTTGCCGCCGCCGCGTCAGGATTAGGAGTTTTGGTGTAGGAAGTGCATATATGCATATGCACACACACAAACACACACACACAAACACACATACATATACATGCACACACACACACACACACACACATACACACACACACACACACACACACACACAAACATTCACAAACACATACATATATATATGTAAAAGAAAAAATCTTTTGTGATAGTTACCCTGCTTTTTCGCCCCACTTTCTTGGCCAAAGAAAACCCCGTACTCAGTTATCAAGGTAGACAAGGTATTTTCATTTTCAGATATTTTGATGAATATGCTAGTAGTTCATCCTCGTCAGTAATTTGCAGGTATACGCATTCCTTTTCTATTTCTTTTTCTGCTTTCGGCCTGAGCGCCTTTCCACACTAGATGGAAAAGTAGTTAATGACAAAACTTGAAGTACGTTTTCTCGGTCAGCTGTTGGTCTCTTTTTCATGTTAGATAATATGTTGCTTTATCTTTTCCACTCTCAATGACATACAAAATCACGGATGAATTCAAATTTAAAACGATTTTTGAAATAAATATAGATAACGATGTAACAGTAAACTTCTAGAAAACGATCATCAACTTGGAAACATTTCCTTTTAAATTTTGAGACGGCTAAGTATTTTAAGCTCGTTGACTTTGTGAGACCACCCATTAACGAGACAATATATAATAATTTTCCATTTATAGGTAAATACCTTTAGCAGAGAGCAAATATCAGCCTCTTTTGTAATCTACATTCATTATCCGTTCAAGATACGTCGCGTGGAGAACGTGGTCTTATGAGAACATTTATATCTAGTATGATTTCACACTTCTAGGATAATCTTCTCCATCGCTAGATAAGTAAGTCGATCTAGATTAGATAAAACAGGATTAGGCAGCATTATCCTTGCTGTCTGATAGTCGTTATCATATAACTATATATACTATACACTCATAGTCATACCTCTTCGGCAACATAACATGCGCAGACTCATACATTCGCATATACAAACACGGGCAAACACGGACATACATATACATAATACACAAATGGAATTTATATAAAAATCTATTGTTCTTTTAATCGTAACCAGTGTTGTTGATTCCATTGTTCTGAGAATCCAGTTGCTATAGATATCAAAATAATCAAAATAAGTAACAGACAAACAACAAATAAACAAATAAACATACAAACTAGAACATAGGCCTACATTTCTTTGAGTGAAATACTTGATGACTTCATATTTTTCTACCTTGTTTTCTAAGGTATACTGTGATAATTAGCCTTGAAAGGAACTATACACTTTTCATCTTAATTATTATTGATTCATTATCTCTCATCATCAAATATATTAATGCCATTGCTATCATAACAAAAACACGAAAGAGAATATGAAAACAGGCTATTTATACTGTAACTTTCACATCTATACATAACATATCCCAAAATATAACATTGCTTGATATAAAGATATAGATTTAAACAGCTAATATTATGGCATCACCAATATGCTTTTTTCTTACTTTGGAAAAACCGGGTGTATAATCTCTTTCTCTATGTTACTGTTTCATTCTTGCTATTCTGCATGACCACAATTCCTGGTAATTTCTTTAACACTAGGATACTTCTTGTGGTTTAGCGTATGCGAAATGGCACTAGATTTACCAACAAAATGCTATTTCATCACTGTTTCGTCTCCGCTCTTCTCACTCATCATAGTCATTTCCCTTCCTGCTACCTCCTTCATAGCTACATATATGTACAGAGAAGGTCGCGCATAAGTTCACACACACAGACGTACACACGCTTTTCACTCATAAACTGAAAGCATCGATGTGCAGTCACGGACGAAAGCATTTCTAACCAACAGGAGTCACATCCTTTCTGCTGTTCGAGAGCAAATTCGAAACATGTTCCACGAGAACTCTGTCCGCGGCTGAACATCTTTACATACATCCTAATGTTCCCCAGTATACTCACACTCTGAAGCGCATGCCATTTTGAAATCAATTTGTGTATAAATCCGATGGAAAGTTCTGCTGTGACTTTACGCTTACAATGGGGAGGGAGGGAGGGAGGGGGGAGGATTTTTTCGCCTGGGGGATTTCTCGGGAAACTTTCTTGGGGGGATTTTTATCAGATTAATCGATGCCGTCAATTTGGAAGAGAAGAAATGCTGATCCAAAATGGGAAGGAAAAGTTTTATTCTAGAACTGCCTGTGGATATACCAGTCCATAAACATACAGAGTACATATATACCTTGTGTATATATATATATATATATATATATATATATATATATATATTTATATATATATATATATGTATATATATATATATATATATATATATATATATATATATATATATATATATATATACATACATTATGTATGTGCATGTATGTACATGCATATATATATATATATATATATATATATATATATATATATATATATATATATATATATATATATAAATCCTGTACGTGTATGTATGTATATACATACATACATGCATACACACATTCATATATATGTATATATTTATACATATACATATATATGTACACATACATATATATATATATATATATATATATATATATATATATATATATAAGAAAGAAAAAAATCATACAATTCAATTTTTATATCAAACAACAGGCGTCTGCTCCAGCTGTTTTTAAAGATTTGAAGTGATGGCCTCGTGGTCTGCATTCCTTAAGGACAACAATACTGGATCAGTCTTGTTATGGGTCAGTCCAAAAATAATTTGTTCGCCTGTGGGATATGGTACGACCTTTCAAACTGCGTGAGGAATTTCTTTTCGATTTGTAAATCAGTCTAGATACGAACAGTGGAAAAGATAGGCCTATTTTGAAGATAGTTGATATCAACTAATGCTATTGCACCGCTCGTCAATTCTTTCGATTGAAATTCCCTTATCCCTTTTCTGCAATCTGGTATGCAACTAGAGAAAAAAAAAACGAAAGATAATGTTTGTTACCCTCCTCGTGTTATCTCTTTGTACTGTCCCTTTAAACGGAAGATAAGTGTCTGTTTTGCATATGTAGTTTTTTCGCCGGGATAAGAAAATCGCCATCCTCCATTCCTCTGTTGGACGTTTCATTTTTTCTTGTCGTCTTTTTCAGCAGTCGGGGCTCGACTTCACTCGGAGGTTGAGTCAGTCGATTGTTTTTTGGGATAGGATTTTATAGTGCGTTTGTGTATACAGTATGTACACACACACACACACATACACACACACACACACACACACACACACACACACACACACACACACACACACACACAAGCACGCACGCGC